TTCAGTGGTGGAGCTGTATGACAAGTGGGTAATTCTATAGCAGGCTGGGAACCATATGTGTCTCCATTTTACCTTTACTCTCGAAACGAACTTCTACATTCGCTTGCATTATTATTGTTAAGATATTTTATGTTTATCCGCTTATTCTCATCGATATGTCTTTGGATAGTGGCGTCTAAGTAGTTCAGAAGCAATAGCTGCGTCAGGCTTTGGGACAAGAGCCCAACACATCTCAACCTCTGCCTTGAAACCAAAGATGAAAGGAATAACCATATTTATCGTACCTCTCTCCGTTCATATCTGTACCTCTCTGCTACATCTAGGTAGGACTAAGCCTCAGTCATCTGACTTCAGCAAACCCCCTCTTTAGTAGCAAGTTATTGTATTTGAAAACGGAATATTATCCGTCTGATCTTCCTTTTTCAAGTGCGTGCCCCTTGTGCTACTAATTTTACTATTTCTGTGACTTCCCGGAGTGCCCCAGGAACTCTTACGTGAACGTCTCTGTTATCAGGTCTCTCTCGGAGGCTGTCTCGACCCACCAACATTTATGATTATATTTATGTACCTAGTCCTTAGAGATGTGCCAAAGATTTCCTGTACATACCTCAATTAGAGACTCTAGCTGAGAATTTGTCAAGTAACACAACCAGCAATTCTACCAGTAACGTTATCAGGTATATGCGGAGCCCTGACCGGGGACCTTTGTTGGGGTTCCTTCCCTATGAGGCTCTGGGGAACTCGGGAGGGCACTAGGTGGGGCTCCTGGCAGGGTAAATTATCCTGATAAGAAAATCATTTGCGTATGAACTATATGACTGGCTACTACAATATCCTATGAAGGTCTAGCTTATGGCCTAAGTGAGACTACACTGCGGCAGTGCCACTAATAAAACTCAGTACCAGGATACGATCATACGATGGTCGAAGACAGGGTTACTGTTAGGACCCGCTGCACCTCACGGGACGATCCCCTAAGCAGTAAGCACAGACAATCAACCCGGGTCAGATCGCTGAATTCATAACCCGTTTACTCCATAGTCAATGCTGAATCGGCCGGGAGGAGCCCCGAGTACGCAAACGTCTCATGCATGGGGCCAAAATGCGCTCCACTAAGCAGATAGGAGTAAAATTCAGTGGGGCGGAAAATGCATGGGGCCAAATGAAGGCCGTTAATAGCCACGGAGAAGTCTACAGTCTTTGGCCACAGATTTCTTAAAATTCCGAAATAACGCAAGAACAGCCAAATTCCCAACTGGGCTAGCACTAGTGAAGAATACAGTATTCAACACTTTGATATTCTGGATAGGAATAATAGGTCGCAGCTATGTGAGTGTTAAATAATATGAATGCTGACCATTGGCACCCAATAGTACAAATCCTAAATTGTTTATTTTTCGAAAATTTAACAAATGTACAGCCAGAGACTGTATATGTTTGGTAGGGCTGGGATTGCGGGAATGCATGTGACTGTTATTCGCACTAGGCCAAGAACACTGACCTCTACAAGAATATCGTTGAATTAATTTAGAAGATTGTAAGCCAACTTTCGGGCGGCCGAAATTCTGATTCTCATTGGCTCATAACCAAACAAATATTCCAATGACCAATGGGAAGCCCCTTAGCCCCGAACTTATGCAGCCGAAATTTCAGCTTACCTTTACACTACCACATAACTCATTATCAGCCTTGAAGTCTGTAACCTAACCTAAGATCCTACGATCACGGCGCGAAAGTAAGCTTTCCCAGTCTTCCAAGCTCTGTTCTCATTATGCTCCCAGAGTCCTCTCCCTAAGCCAAAAGTATGTTAAGTTTAGACCCAGTTATTATTTAAATATAGTTGTCTGTTCTCCATTTTTGAGGTTATTTTCTAGTAGTGATACATTTGTCTAGTACTGATACGTGTTTGTAGTAAAGCCCACAATGACTATCTCAAACTTCGGTTTCATGTTACGTAACTACTAGCGGTTAGATGTATTGGTGGGGCAGAAGCCGGTGATTTGAAATGGGTACTATTGGGCGGGGTATAACTGGCATTTGTGGAGCTCATTCTAATGTTTCTTTGTTGACTGATGATCCTAGATAGCAGGCCATTCAATTATTCCCTCATATATATCTCTCTCCCGTCTCGGGGTATTCCTTCCTTCTTAACAAGCTATTTCCTACATCCAAATTCTTTTTCTTTTCACACTCTCATCCAATCTGTATCTAAACCTGCACACAGTACAGAATGGCTACTACTGCATATGACTTTGTTGTCATTGGCGGCGGTACGGCTGGCCTGGTAACTGCTTCTCGACTGAGCGAGGACCCCAACAGCTCCGTCCTTGTTCTCGAAGCAGGTGCCGACTTGACAGCAGATCCCCGCGTGAACATTCCTATCTTTTATGCCGCGTTACTTGGATCTGACGCTGATTGGAAATTCCAATCGGCTCCTCAGGTATGAATGGCCCCTGTCCCTATGAAGAAAGAGTGTGTGGGATAGCTAATCTATAATTCTTATAGCCGGGTCTCAATGGCAGAGTGATTGGTCTTAATCAGGGCAAAACACTCGGAGGATCCAGTTCATTAAATGCACACGTCTTTGTTCCTCCCTTTGAAGGGGCTGTTGACTCATGGGAAGAACTCGGTAATCCCGGATGGAATTGGGCCATATTGAAAGACTATTTGACCAAGGCCTACAGCAGTCCAACTGTAGCACAGGATGACAAGGAAAGTCTGGCAATTGAGGACTGGCCTGAATTGAACGGAGCGAAAGGTCCAATCCAAACATCTTTTGGCAACGTGACACATCCTATCCGCAAAGCATGGGCTGAACTGTTTCGCAGCTGTGGAGAATACAATGCCGGGGATCCGTTTATCCACAGTTCTGTAGGCTCCTTCAGCTGCCTTGCTAGTATTGACGCGGAGGGTAAGAGAAGTAACTCTGCCTTGGCTTACTATAAGCCTGTGGAGCTTCGCCAAAACCTTCATATCCTTACAAACGCTCTTGTTGAGAGAGTCTTGTTTGACGAAAGCAAGCCTCCCAGGGCTATTGGAGTCCAATACAGTCATGATGGGGCCTCAAAGACTGTTCAGGCAAAGAGTGAAGTCATACTTGCTGCTGGTGTTTTCCAATCTCCGAAAATCCTCCAACTTTCAGGAGTTGGTGGAGCAGACCTTCTCAAAAAGCATGGTATCGATGTGGTTATGGATCTTCCCGGAGTTGGGCAAAATCTTCAGGGTATGTGAACAGCTTCCAGTCTAGCACCGGCGACATAGATAACAGGAACCCCTCTCCTTTTGGCAACTACTCGCTTTGGGATAAGAAATCTAACATTTAATGCTCCTAGATCACATGATCTCATACACCGCATTCCAAGCAAAGCCTGAACTAGAAACGAAGGACTCTCTGGTTAGACAAGAGCCTGAAGCCATTGGTCAGGCAATGCAGGAATATGCTGCCACAAAGTCTGGGCCCCTCGCGTCACTTGGAGTTCATACCTACGCTTATTTGCCTCTTCCTGAGCAGGACAGAAGTGATCTCCAGACATTGTTTAGCAGCGACGCCCCCGAGACCTCACAGCACAAGGCATCCCAAGCCTACTATGACATCGCCAAGACCACTATTCTTGATCCCAAGCAACCATCAGCTGCGTACCTATCCGCCTTGGGGCAGACAAATTATGCCAAAGATCTCAGGGACGGAACTATCCCAGATGCTTCACCAGGAAAGTTTGTTACGCTTGGAGTAATGCTCTCTCAACCGCTTTCCCGCGGAAGCGTTCAAATGTAAGTGCATCTTTGTTGTTTACATCTTCCTTGATAGAAATTGTGGTAACTGACAAACCGAACCCCAGTACCTCCAACAACCCGGAAGCCCCCCCAGTCATTGACCCTGGCTACATGTCAAACCCTCTCGACCTGGAAGTCATGGCACGACACTTGCTCCGTATCAAGAAACTGGCAGAGTCTCCTCAGCTTGGAGAACTGCTTGAACAGCCATTGAAGTTCCGTGACCCAGATGCAGACTTTCAAGGAGACTTGGATGCCGCAAAGAAATACGCTCGGGACAATTTGGTTTCTATGTGGCACTTTGCAGGAACCTGTTCGATGCTGCCTCGCGAGAAGGACGGAGTGGTGGATTCCAATCTGAAGGTCCACGGTATCGAAGGCCTGAGGGTTGTAGATGCAAGTGCTATCCCGCTTATAAGCACGGCGAACCTGCAAGCTACTGTGTATGCGTTTGCGGAGAGAGCGGCGGACCTCATCAAGCAGGATCGGAAGAGCGAGTAAAGCTGGGGTTGTAGATGTCTGTAGCCACAAGGTGTTAATTAAATAAGTGGCAACGATAGGAAGACTGGCGAACCTCCCAGGGTTTTCACCCCCTGTCGCGCATCTCGCGGATAGTCAGCTGCGCCCGAATACTCCCCGATTGACCTCTGCGGTTTTAGCTTCAAGACTTCTAGATCTGCAATCGACTACAGAGATGTCGACCCTGCACGTAATTTAGACGCTTTAATATTTTTCGAGTATACAAAAGCCCTATCTTCCCTTCATATACCCTCTTCTCTCTCTCCCAACATGACTCCTCCCCACCGCTCACATGTAGACACTTATGAGTAGTCTCGTCTAAGTAATTCTGTGTCATCTTATTGATTGTTTATATACATATATATATATATACAGTTAAGTCTATATATTTGTTTATCCATGGCTTCCATATCAGTCCAATTCATATTCTTATATTGGATCGAGTGATAAGAGAGATACTAGCTATGCCGGTGCTTGGTTTTCTAGAAGCAAAGAATATGTTCCACACGTAAGGGAACGTGTGGCAAAAGCTCCAGGTGTCTAATAATGATTTAGATGACATTAAGTACAGTATTTGGTATCCGGGCACATTATCACAGCGGGCGCCTCCATCTTTAGGAAATAAAAAAAACCAAGAAATCTAACATATTCAACATATTGCATCTTGTACCCTTTGAAGAGAAGTCTAGACACAGAGAACAGCCACGCTACTCATCCTCGTTGTGGTCATCAAACGGCCAGTGTCGATCCGTCATTTCGCGCTCGTAGTCTGTATCCAGTGAAGCAAGGACATCAACTTTCATCTGACGAGCACGGGCACAGGCAGCTTCCTACTCTTCCGAAGGGGTCCAACCATCAATACTGATACCAATGGCATTACGGATCTGTTTTAGTTGGAGGTCAATCTCGTCCTGCATGCTTTGCAAATGCATGATAGAATCTGACTTGGCCGTAGAGATGGATATTGGACATGGGTCAGTTGAGCATTCGTGCCACGATTTGGCCAATAAGACAAGGTCAGCTTGAAGCGGGATGTTGTTGCCCTCCCAGGGGTCGCCCGCATGGCTGAAGATGCGCCGAGTAAGCATGTTCGTGATCTGATCCATAGCACGGAAGTGGGGTTCATTGAACCGCTGAGTGAATGCCAAATAGAAAAAGTGGGTATGGCGTCGTCGAAAGTCATACAGAGCGTCGGCCTGTTCTTCCTCGTCTAGATCGCTTAAATCCGGAGTAGGAGGCGGGCGAAAATGAAGCGATTCAGGATCATCGTAGTTCTGGAAGAACTTGGGAATCCCGGCGGCGAGGAAGAGTGGAAGGACAGCTGCATGTTGCCAGTCAATTAGCCCGACAATATCCAGGTCATCTGAGACGAAGATGTTGTTCGGCTGAAGATCAGGATGGCGAAGGACCGGACGTAAGAATCCATTTGATGGGAGCAGTCGAGGAGCAATTTTGAGGTAGGATTCCAGCGACTCAATATGCTCACTGGGGTCGGACAATCGGTGACCCATGGACTCGCGATATGCACGCTCAAAAGGAAAGCGTGGGCGGCCATATGTGCGCAGCCAGGCTAATTCTTTTAACGCAGGATTTCGGAGAACATCGATCGGATCCGCACCTAATATATGGTCAGCACTGAGACAGGCTGGCCGAGGAAGCACTTACAAGGACCGCGATCGACACGGGGAGAGGTACGCTCCGCGAACCACCATTTAAGAGCTGCACTAGGGCCAATGCAAACATCCGAATCTGGGACGGCGATGCGTGGTGAGTCTGACGGTAGATCGCTCGCGTAGTATATGCTTCCACTCGCAGGGAGCTGAATCGCATGAAGCTTCGCTTCAAACTGTACAAGCTGCAGGAGCACCTTAAGACGCTCACGATCAGACAACTCAAACCACCGGTCACCAAGTGGTCGTCCTGGTAGTTTCTCCATGATGATATACTCCGAGCCAACAAGGTTTGTAGCATCTGTGGAGTATGCATATACGCGTGGCACAGGAAAACCATGATCGCGAAGGAAAGCCAAGGTAGCTACCTCACTAGCGACTGCCAATCGCTTTGGTTCAGTCGAGGGATATGGCAATCGGGCAAGAATCTGAGTATCGTCAAGCATGGTAATCTGAAGGACACGGTTGAAGCCCCCTTCCGCCAATTTTGTCAGGCTTTTGATATCTGTGTCACATCTCTGTAGCGACCGAGCAACAGCAGTCTTCAATGCATCAGCATTGAATGCCCGGCGACGCTCAGTAAGACGGTTTTTCTCGTTATATCTATCCATATAAGCCACAAAAAGGAGACAGTAGAGGTCATCTTTGAGCAACTCACATCCATCGACCAGACGTGTATTGGAAGAGTTGACTGTCGTCATTTATCGTAGACACCATACGGGAGGTAAACTTTGATGAATGCATGATCCATATTGGAAACAGAAGTGTTCTAGTTACCGGAGTTGGATGCCATGTCCACTGTGCCATCCTAAGCCTTATCATGCCGATGTGGCTTTTAACAGAAGTTCATTTGGGAGGTTGCGGGTTGCAGATCAAGGGGGTGCAACGCGCGCTTAGTTCATCGATCGGTAGGCGGCTCAGTCACGTTGTGAGCTATAAATATCCCTGGGGAACACTTCCAACGACAAACCATTTACGCAGAGCCATTGTCCAAGTCTATGGAGAGAGCTCTAACCGCATATGTGGTCCTACTACAGCGTAAAGCAGCAACCGAGTCAGTGATTATACCAGCTTAATAGGCTAGTAAAGCTGGATTATATAGTATATAGAATCCGTGTGGATATACCCCCTCCTTAAGTGGAGTGAATCTTGATGATAAAATCAATATCGCGTCCATCTGCCATATGGATCGGATGACTGCCATGCAGGACTTCATACATAATGAGGGGATTAACTTGCCAAATCGTTACTACGAGATTCGCAATCAGCCCTGAAACACGAAAGGTCCAACCTCAGCGGCAATGTCAGTTTAAGGGTATCATTTTGGACAAGAGAAGTTGAATGGAGTTGATGGGGCAAGATTGACTACATATTTCTTAGTTGTGTAGGTCCTATCTATTTTGCTGCCATTAATCAATAAACCTAAAGGACGAACTTCCAAAGTTTCCATTTGCAAATTGGCAGTCACAAATAAATCAAAATACCTCAACCTGAAACCTTCCTAATCTCAATCCAAGGTCCTGGATCCACTGTGCTGTCACCTGTGATGGGGTTGAGCACCCTCCTTTTGCGGGGCACGCCTACATTGTCCTTTATAATCTGGTTATCCAGCACCATAATCTTCAGTTTCCTTTCGTTCTCATGTATGTCTTTAAATTTGTCTGAGCCCGTTGGGGATGGGCCGGGTGGTAGATGTGCATGCAAAGTTACCGTCAGAGAGTTGCTGCAATTGGCACAACCTGGCACATGCCACCGGCTGAAAACCGGCTCGAGCCCAACTAGAGTAGCGTGAGCCCAATCATGCTCGTTGTCGGAAGGGAAGGCCCAAATAGCCACAACAAAAGAGCCCAGTCTTTGGCTTCGGCTGATACCCGTCACCCGTACAGCTGAGCGTGACATGGGTGGCGCTGAAGCTGTGACTGGCGGTACTGGTAGCGGCAGGACATCGATTGGTGGTGGTGGGGGGGTCTTCGTAAGGTATTGATCGCAATCGTAGCTGTATCCGAGCTGCTGAATGTTCACAACACCCTAGAGGTATTCATGGTTAGCGACTCTGATATGAAACATCATTTTTGGCCTTGTGGTTAACAGTTACCCTTGTAGTGTAGCGAAAGGGGGTTAACGGGGTTTCCATGTTGAGCTGGGAATCAGCACTCATACCCGGAGTTGGACCTTGACTATCAATCGGACTGGTTCCGGGGTAGAACGGAATAATATCAAAATTCTCTGTGGCCTCATGATGAAACTGCCAGAGCCAAAAGACCATGTCAATAAAGCAGTGATGAAAAAAGAAGATTGGATCGAACGCCGCCGTGTCATTCTCGCCCATGTCCCCGTTTGCTTGGGAGGGAGTTAATCGGTGACGATCCTTGTCAGGCATATCATATCCACCAACTGCCAGATGAACTCCATTGTGTGGCCGCTCCACGGAAACTACAAAGTCATCCTCCCATTCAGCCTCACGAGCAAATTTATCATCGTTCCACTTAGCAGCTGATGTGGTGTTGGAAAACACGGTATAGTTGGGAGCCTTCCAGGCAGCATCGATGAAAAGCTGACGCATGCCTGGGACTGAATTCGTAGCGGGACTTCTTAGCCAGTACTGTACATTTCTATTGAGCTGCACGGTTGCCTGGGCCTCGCTAATGGTGGCATTATAATTCTCTGTAGCGTCCTTGTCATCTTTCCCAACAAGCCCAGAGTAAGGACATCGAACTGTTTCATACTTTTTGGGCTTGCTGTAATCCACCCTTCTGGTCGTGGTGCCGACTTGGTCGGATGCAATTCGACCGAGATTGTCGAAGAATCCCTGGGACAATTTGTACGAATATAAGGGATTGTCAATTTCTCCCACGACGGGTAAATTGTATATTTTCTGGTGTGAAGATATTCGGCACACTTGAGTCGGCAATCTCATCCCAGTATGGCAAAGCTAGATTCGGCTTGTTTGAAACTTTGCGGAGGGCGTCCTCCAAGCGAAGGACATACGCACGGTGCCAGGTAGGAAAAAGTACATTGCCATGATGACAGTACCCTCCCCACCAATCTCGATTTCCATAGCCAGCACCCCTGAAGGGCTGGCCATGATAACCTGCGATGGTATAAAAGGAATCCTCATTTGGAGCCTCCGCCGTTCCTGGACCCACTTTTTGAAGTAAATGGAATGCAAGTACCAGATCGTCAAGCTCTTTCTGATCGAGAGCGGCAATGTTTTTGCGGACCCGAAATGGAGACATAGCGTACGTGTTCTTGAGGTGAGAAGTCAGTCCTGAATTCGATGTGTTTGGGGAACTGAAAGAGAAGTCAACTCGCTGGTCAGAGGCAAGTCTTATAGGTAGCGAACCCCATCAACGTAATACCTGCTTAGGTAGCGAGAGGAGCTTATTCACAGGTACGTACCTGCAACATTTGGAATTTTCCCGACCATGCCACATCTGGAACAACTTGCTGATGCTGTCGTCAACACGCATGCATGGGCCTTCGCAAAGAAATGGCTCATAGCAGACGTCGACACGAGGCAGCCAATTACTGAAAAGTCGCTATACCGCATTGTGGCTGTGAGTATCCGTCTTACTGACAATACTAAAGATGGATTTGACCATCCTCTTTATGTTTGGTGGACTAACCTGGACGACCATGCATCTCAAGGACAGCAATCAGCGCAGAATGCTGAACCGAATTGAATCCCGGTCAAGTACAGCTATCTGCCTAAATCTAGCAGGTATGCTGAGTTTGAACCGCACCAGCCCTATCTCAAAGATTACGAGACACTCGAGAGTCAGACAATGGGTGTCGCGGCGGGTTTTACCCGAACCAATAAGCCAACCACCAACCCATGTTGATGCGGGGTCAAACAAATCAGATACTTAGGTGGCTCAATTAGATACAACCTGTTGCCTTAAAAATGGGTCAAATAGAACAGGCAATTACTATACTACAGCCCCTGAATAGGTATACGTTCTCAGCAGAAATATAGAGTGAGTAGCGAAACTGTGGAAGGTCCAAAAACACAACGGTGACCTCTTCCCCCTTCTTGACTCTTTACCCAAACCGCGATCACGACATGCTCTGTACCCGAAAAAGGATACTTCATGATGCTTCCCCCATGTATACCCCGCTTTTAAGTAACATATCGAAGCAGATTGCCAGTTTGGAAATCGAATAGCAAAGATGACGGTTCAAGTCATTATGCATAGTAGGCCAAGTGTTGAACGCCACGCACTATCTACAGCACACCATACTACTCGCACACGCATATGCGTTTAATAAGCAGACGTTGCTGTCTTCCAATCACATACTGTTCTCTATGCATTTCCTCCCCGGCCAGCAGTGACTACTGCCTACTAGCTTCCTGTTGATCATAATCCGGAATTGTCTGTGAGCGCCCCGGAACTCCATTTACGGCAAGTTGCATTTCAGACTGTGTCGCTTCAATCGAGCCGAGATAGTTGCACAGACCTTTACACACCTCCAAGCACTTCCGAATTACTAGGACCAGCACTAAGCTAGCTGGTGGTAATTCTTGTGGGTAGGATCAACAACTGTCTGCATCAACCAATGGCCTATAGTCCGATGTTGAATACAGCAATCGGACTCGTCGGAATAAAATGGAACCGGATAATAACGTACTTTGACACCATATATGCAGGCAGTTGTTATGTCTGAGACGTTGCAGATTTCACCCTATCGATATCTGCATGCTTCCTACTCGGGAATGTCATATTCGACTTTGATGATGAGGTGTGCCATCGCTTGCCCGTACATCTCCTCGGAGCATTAGGAAGTAAGCCGCATGCACTCAGAGGGACAAATTGATAATTGAAATAATTGGGAAGCCAGCACAGTTCCGTTCGGTGAGCTTAGCCCCTCAGAGGGCAAAATATCAACGGCCTAACCGGACAGTCACGTCGGCTCTGCCAGCAACAAAGAGTCCCAAACTCACTGTAGGTGGATGGGAGATGAGATTCTCCGTGACACTTCCATAAAGCCTTCATAACAGCCATAGGTACAGAGTTAGGGAGCTGGAGGCCACTTCATGCGGGCCTAGCTATAAGGATCTGGGGCTGGGGATAAATCAAACATACACCAAGTGGAGCCTGTCAACAATCGACCCGAGCGCGTGTCTTCTAGTAAGCTCACGAGTAATTGCACGTGTCGGCACTCCAGCTCAGTCACAGGATACATCCTCCCAACAGATATTTTCACTTATATTGAGACAGGACCATTACCAATGCGTCGCTCACACAATACCAGAGCCAGGTCTCAGTATCAAAGTCAACCCATTTCGGCTCAAATCTTTTTGCCTGACCGAAAGACTAGACCACAAAGGAGAGCTGCGGAGCCAAGTTACCGAATAAAGAAGCTAGACGTTGGCAAAATGTTCTTTTTGGATGTCGTATTACTCGGTGAGCAGAGTCGCGGCCAGTAATAAGCGTTGTGTCTGAACTTATCGGAGATTCAAAGAATATATGCGTGGAACGGTACTAGGTTAAGGCTATTAAGAGGAAGGCTCTAACCCCCCCAGCCTTCCCTTATGCCAGAGCCTCTGACTATCTGCAGCTGCCCTCGTTCTGTACTCCACTTAGTCCGGAAGCCAAAGGGCCTATTTTGAGTAGATGCAAAAAGCCTACTGCTCTCCTACTAAACTCAGGTGTTATTATGCTTTCTTGAGGTATCAAGCTGACGCTTCATGCAACAAGATATCGTCAGGCAGAGGAGGCAAAGGAAGAGGTGGTGACTGACTGACTGACTGCAGTGAATGACTCAATATTGCTTTCAAGCTCCGCCGTCGCCTATGACGCTAGACCTTGGATCTATATAGTGTCCACCTAATCAGCCGTCACTAAGCCAGTCAACGACTACGAGGCTTTAATAACCACCTTCAGCTAGTCCCGGCAACCAGCGGATCTGTCAGTATATAATATCTCCTTCACTGTCGAGTTCTATATAAGTTCTTACTTTTTACACATTAAATGTCCCACCAAGTTCTGCATACACACTGTCACTGTTTGTGTTACCCAACAAGTCGCCGAACTTCTCTCGGCTGGACATCTCTCCAGTCTACTGCAGGTGAGTTGAACCACCATCTCTGGGAGGTACTCCTTCTCTGTCACTATTAATGGCCCGATGAGGCTCGAGACTTCGCTCATAGTTGGCCAACACGTGTCATGCGAGCCATTGCCTCCAAGGAACACAAAACTTCCTCCGCTACGGTGCCGACGTGAACCTCGCATGCCGTGATCTCTTCCTGCACCACGCGAAAGTTCCTATGATGACCTAATCTATTTACAAATGCTGCCTAACGTCGTAGTTACCATCGGAGATGACACGTTGGTGAGGATGTTGCTGGGCCACGGGGCTGAAAACGGACTGGAGCACCATAATGGGGCTTCCCGAACACGATCCCAGCCTGCTATCGCAGATGCTCTAGTATCAGGACATTCAAGTACTGTGCGAGTTCTGTCTGATCATGGCACGAATATCCAAGGTCGCTGTATAGAAGCTGGTCAGTTAGTCTTGTACAAGGTCAATACAGGCCACTTGACGATGCTCCAACTCCTACTGGAGAATGAGGCAGACGTGAGCAGTCCTCTTCATCCCGTGTATCCCCTACGTAACGCAGCCTACTCGAGGGAATTATCGGCTGATATAGTAAGGTTTATGCTCGATTATGGCGCGAAACGACAGCGCCTGATCATGGCCATGAACGCTCAGCTGCTGCTAGAACGCGGAGCGGTATTTCCCTGGGATGCAATACCCTCGGCTGCTTCCCACACAACACCTGATTTCATCCGCCTGCTTATTCAATACGGAAACATTTCTAATATCGAGTGGCTAAGGCAGGGTATAAGGAGGCGGTGGCTTGACATGTTGCAGCTAATCCTCCAGGAGGGTATTGGCCTCGATGCTAGGGAACCTAGGTATCACACAATCCTGCATTATCCAGCAAAGTGGTGCCGCGATCAAAGCCTCACGCAAGGAAGGTCACAAACAATATGCAGGATTGCGCCGCAACAAATTCATCAGCCCCCGAACAGTCATATCTCCATCTAGTGTCCAGGGCAACTTTGAGGATGCTGCGGATGACATTCTGCGCTACGGCATTGATATGCGGGCGGTTGTTGATGCGGTGGATAGTGAAGGTGGGGCCCTGCTCGATATAGTCTAGCCAGAGCGTACGCATCCAAAGTGGAGCAGATGCTTCTAGATAGCGCTGCTACTCCTCAGGAGTGTCATATAGGGGAAGGGGGGCGCTGATTTACGACATTTACGATGATTTCACAGCCTACGCAGTAAGGCAGGCCCAGAAGATCCAGATAATTCAGATGCCTCTACTCAGGTGTAAGCTGATATCTAACTCTATATAGGACGCGCCCGTTTGCTGATCTGGTCCTCGGCGCCATTCGATATTCTTTTTTCGGACCGGGACTTGGGACGTATCAGTCGGTTGTTTAGGTGACAGCGGTGAAAGTTTATGATCAGCGCTCGCTGTAGCTCCTCATTCCAGAGAATATTTTCAAGCCGAAAATCGTCATGTACGACGCCCAGTGAGAGAATTTTCCTTTCCGACCGTGAGATTGCACGCTGAATGGTTGGATTGTTTTCCATAACGCGGCGCACATTCTCGCCACCCCAACCCATCAGAAGCATGTGGCGGATATCGCCAGCACCGTGAAGGAAATATACCATATCTAGATCAATGGACCCCAAGAATACGGGCACCGCGGAGCCTGTCAGGTTGGTGCCTGATTTTACCAGCTGAATCTCGAAGCCCAACGAGGGCATGGTGTGCTCTACACGTATCCGCGCTCAATCCTTTCTCCGCACAATCATGCTCTTGCCGGCGGGGTGGGGAAGTCTACTAAGTATACCAAGTTACCAACCATTGGCTTAGACCATAGTTTGACCCGGGGTTAATCCACAATCCCGAAACCGCTTGTGGGGACTCAGCTATCTACTCGTTAACTCCGCCAGCACATTGACCGAGGTCCTCCCTAGTTCATGACTTGTTGAGAGACATCTTGAAACTGGCGCAGTACTATTTACGCTGAAACAAGGTATGCGATGGGTCCTGTGGAGTAGGATATAAAGATGACCCATATGTACAATGGGCGATGCAGGATAAATAGCTGTTGATACCATAGCCATTGTGAGCTCGGGCGACATCACCATTGCCTTTATTTCGCACAGGTGGACTTAGCGCATATACCTACACCTTTCTCACTCAGAAGAACAATAGCGACAGGAAGCTTGTTGTGATCGGGTAGATGGCCTAGGTGACAATCATATGAAATATTGGGAATAATGAATACCACCATACGGATGGGTACATGCATCAATTTTCTTGACCGACATCATTAGCGTTCGGTAACTCACATTACACAGCTTCACTTTATTTTGAATTCTTCAGGTCGACGAAGCTCTTATTTTGATTGGCATATATATGTAGATGCGACCCATCAAGGCAGTATGTCGGGATACATGTTTCGGATGATAGTCAGACCGATGGTGTCAGCACCAATGCCTTGCCCTGAAAGCCCATTGGAATAGCACTGAAGGTTATAAGATTAAGCGAAGGTTATAATTTCATTACAAGAAATAGGAATCATGACAGACAAAAAGGGCAGTTGCTTTTCTTTCTCATATGACCGGTGAAGGCAAAAAATAGGTTCGTGGAAAAACACAGCCTTGGAAGAGTACGGAGTACCAGGTGCGTCTATTTTCTCGTAGGATACTAGCATGCTTTCCCGACGATCTCTCCGAGATACCATGTTTTCTCCCCAAATGCTGAGTCTCCACGTCAATGCTTGTTCATTCGTGGGCTAATAGCTTAGCTGCCATGTGACGATTATGGGGCGGTGGCGCGGGAGCTCACGGACCCCTAAGCGAAGAAGGCATCTCTTAACGTAGTCAAACATCAGTGTTGCCGCCTCAGTCTTCTCTCACACAAGACTCACAAACTAACTCACTCCCGATTAGGCTCCAACAAACTAGAGTACATAAACCAGTGCCCCTCCTACTAACATGGTAACTTCATCACCCAATCTTATTCAAAACCAGCTATACTACCCACCGAAGGCTTCTCAATACCTTTCACATGTTGTTCAGGATACTCGCCCTCTTCGCAGTGACAGTGTTAGCCACACTCAACGATGTTACAAACCAGGGTACACCCGCCGTTAAGACCGTAACCACTTGGGAAACTGTCACCGGATCTCCAGTTACCACGGCTGTTACCAAAACCGTGACGCCAGATTCAAGTGGAAATGCCACTAGCCTTTCCTGGAATTATTTGACGTCGACGCCGTTATCGTTCTCTATCTCCTCGTCTTCCTCGTCGTCGACGGGGACAAGTACGTCCGAGTCGAGTGCTGCATCGACCGCCTCAGAGAGCTCTTCTGTGTCAACTGGGGGTGCACCTGACATCACCGGAGGCCTTGCCATGCGTCTTGCTGGTGCTGCTGGAGCCCTCGGCTTTGCTCTTGCTCTGTAAGAGTCTTAAGATAGTAAAGATGTTGAATGTGATGGATGGAAGCTGGAAGATGTAGCATGGCTTGCCGAATTTCGTCGACTATTCTATGCCTGGTTCTTCATACGAGCACCTGTGTACTTTGATTGTATCTAAAGGAATTATTCTTCATCTTATGCAGATTATATTGCGATGTAGCATACCAACCAGGTACGCCTATCCAGGAAAAGTATCAGATGGCATCAGCTTAATCATGAGTCATGCAATAAAATCCAACACCGAGCAAAGACAGACTTTCGGGCGAGACCGTTCAACCGTCTCGGGGCGAGGCTGAGCTACGCCAAAGTAAGTAATAGCACTGGCCTAAAACCGCAATAGCAATTATAACGCGGTTATTTAGCGGATCCTTCGTCCCCGCACGGGACCCCACCAATGCACATAATCAACAAATCGGATAGAGGAACGGGTGTACCTATGCTAAGAAACCTTGTCGGGTGCTTATCTGTCCAGTCTTCTTGGCCAGTGGTTCAAATTGCGGCGCAGTCAGGATGCATGAGGGCCCCGCTTCCTATTGGTCAACTGCACGTAACCATTCCTGCGCTAACAAAGACCATACTCAGTGTCGCGCTGTATAGGGTATCCCGCATTTCAGCAAAAATACACATGCAGCTAATGACCCTAGATGCATACATCCGTACCCTCCGCACCAATCTGTTTACCTATCCACACACCCAAAACTATCTCTAACAACGGGCCCTATACACGGAAACGACCCCTGAACACCACCATCACCTCCTCCTTCTTCTGATCCCCCCGAACGCTTTCTACAGTATTCAACAAACTTACCCTCTCCATATCCACATCCATAATCATTCCCATGTCCACAACATCAACCTCCACCTCGACATCACCCAACACCTCACTAAAAGATCAAGCCTCCCTCACAACCAACCCTCCACACCCAAACTCCCACCCGAACCTACAACTACCACCATCACCACCCCTCCTCTTCCCCTCCGCGCACCACGAATCAACAGAACTCCTCCAAACCCTCACGCACATCCGCACGCACCTCCACCGCGCCTCGCAACTCTACTCCCAGAAGGCAGCGTTTCTTGAGGATTCAGAAAGACAATGGATTGAGACTACGATCGCAGATACGGCAGACGCGGTGCATGCGTTAGCGGTGTTGGTTGAGCCGGTGAGGGTGGAGTGGGAGGTGAGGAATCAGCAAACTACACATCATAATGCCAAGGGTAGGAGTAAGCGGATGTCAATGGGTCTGGGGACGCAGTTGAGGTGGGTATGTAGGGACGGGCAGAGGGCGAAGGTACAGAGAGGGAGGTTGGTGGTTTGTTATTCGAGCTTGATGGTGGTTTTGGAGAGGTTGATGGGGGTGGGTTGTGATGATGGGGGGAAAGGGATAGTAGGGAGGGGAGGAGGGAAGGTAATGGGTATGGAGGAGGTGGAGGTACAGGAGTTGCCTGGGGAGGGGGAGTGTGTTGATATGGGCGCTGGCGCTTGTACTGGTGGTGAGGCGAGTTCGTGGATGAAGAATTCGGAAGGGGGAGGGCTGGGGTTAGATGTTGGGACTGAGATGCGAGATTTATTACGCTGGAGACAGGCGAAGGGGAATGATAATTAGACGGTCATTATTTGTGTAGTTGGAGTATTAAGGGGGCATTCCATTATATCACGAACGTGGTTGTGGAATCATATCTGAGAAATCGTCTCCTCCACCATCTTCTGAGGCACCGGTAGTATATCTCCCCGTTCATCACTGGTCTTTATGACCGCTGGTAGAATCACAATTGAGCCAGGAGAGGGTGCACTCCAGCTAAAGTTGAACGAGCACGGCTGGGTAAACAGCCATACACTCAGCTGAGCTGCCTCTTTGACAACACTGACCAAGTGACGCCTGCGATCTCCGTCGGAGAGTTCGGGATTTCGGTATGATGCAAAAGCTTCTGAGAAATTGTCTGCTAGAGCAGTGATATTATTTTGTGCAGCTGCCAAAGACAAGTCCATATACTCCGGATGGAGACGAGCTGTCAACATGCGCCACGCGAACATGTCACGAGCTGAAGTCGAGGCTCTGAGAGGCTCAAGCCCATGAGACTCCATGAACGGAGGATACAGAGATCCACCAGGCTGGATAGTTTGTAAGATGGTTCGAGCCAAGACATGATTGAGGACAGGTCGACGGCCGCGACGGCTAGCTAAAGCGGTGGTCAAGGATCCGGAAAGCGAGGAAGAAGCATAGCTTTCTATGCGAATAGCTTCCTCCGGGGTTGGGGATACGTTCTCATGTCTTGCAGGCACGTAGTAGTTGTCGACATGTAGACCGATGTGATCGAAGAGAGTCTGTATGCGCGTGCTGACAGATTGGTCGTCGGCTGGCTGGGGAATAAAAGGAATCAAATCGGGGAGTGAATTTTGGCCGCCTGTCGGGGAAAGGGGAGAGTGACTCGACAGGGCTTGAACTCTGGCCCGCGGTTTGACCAAGTCTACCCCATCTCGATCGGAATCACCAGAACTGCTGGACTGGGGAGTGCCTCTTTTTCTTCGAAAGAAGAGCGCAGCTCCGATGATGGCAAGAAGAGCAGTCCCGGCAATCGATCCAACGAGTGCCCCTGCCAGAGCGCCTTTGCTGACTCCGTTGCTGTGCGATGGCAGGGTTGATGAGGTACTGGTAGGAGTGCTGGATGAGGAATGTATCACACTTGCCGACGTGAATTGGGGAGATACCGCTGATGAAGAGCCCGGGGTAGTCAGAGTCGGGGAAGTTGCGCTTGTCGTAGTGCCATACAAGGGCACCGATGTTGAACCATATTGCTCTTGGCGAGCTCGAATCAAGGCTTCCATTGTGGGAGAGGGCGGATGACAAAGTGACAAAATGGGAGTAAAAATCCAAAGAGCTGAAAAGTACTGATGCACCCGTTTTATTAATGCACTTCTCCGCCCCAGGCGAACTAATTCAGACTGGGCATTCCAGACAGGGGTATACAGACTACGGGTTGTTAGCGGCTATCGGGCAAAAACGATTTTGAGGTAGCAATGCCGCATAACATCGCCCTCTAAGCTCGGGGAAAAACTTCCTTACGCATCTAACCTAATTTTTTTTTGAAAAATTCTTTCAGATCACACTAAATGGCATTATTCTTACTGTATAATTATTACGAATCTCATAATGTAATACGTTTAATGAGGGAAAAAACGGCGATAAGAACTGACGCTAATTTTTGCGCTATGCACCCCGGTACCAGACTTTCCAGGATTAAGAGGACGCGCTTCTCGCAGCCTTGTCTAAGTGGAGTGGGGGACAATTTAGTTGCATTCACTAGAGTCAGACAGGGGTTCCAGTTGAGGGGCTTGGAGAGCCAGCTTCTGTCTCGCACGCGCCTCTGTCGACACTTCCACTTCCAAGCATCACAACATGAGCGACAAAGAAGCCCTCGGTCCACCAACAAAAAGCGCACTGCATAATGAGGAATGGCATCCCAACATCGTAGTGGGTGTCGACTTCGGCATGACACACACAGGTACGTAGATAAGCTGTAGGCTATTCGACGTGAGTTTCTTGACAATGAAGCTTACTGTTGATCAGGTGTCGCATACTCATACGGACCAGAATGGCCACCTCCCAAAACCATCCAGCGATGGCCGGGGAAGCTACCTGGCGAGCTGGCCAATAAGGTTCCTACCTGCATTACTTATAGCTCTGACTCCAAGTCGGTCAGCCACTGGGGGTTCCAATGTGACATCGATAATTCCGAAGCAGAAACCAAGGAGTTCTTCAAGCTTCATCTGGCGCCTCAGTATGCGCGAGATGGGGGCCCAAGCCTGACAGAAGCTCAGAAATGGTTCCAGGACTATATTCGATGCATCTATCGGCATGTGGTGTCCTACTTTGAAACCACGATCCCACAGTTTGTCATGCAACGTGTCGAGTTCATTTTCAGTGTTCCGACTACGTGGAAGGACGTGCGCATGGTGGAAGAAATTCGGAGACTGTTAATGCAGGTCATTGACGCGCGGAATCCCAATCACCGTACTTGCATCGGCCTCACGGAAGCAGAAGCTGCGGCTGTCTATGCGGGAAACGAGCACTACGGAGTCAGTTATCATTCCTTTACTTGATACCAAGTGTAAGGCACTGAGCTGACACTGAGAACAGAGAGATGACACGATCTTAGTTTGCGACTCAGGTGGAGGAACAACAGTAACTTGCCCCTTGACCGCACCCTCGCTCGTAGAATGTTGTAACCAACATTGATCGTAGGATGTAAATGTCCTCAAGCTGTTATCAGCACAGGGTGAGCCTACGCAACTGGCTCAGCTCGGGCATGTCGAAGGTAGCTATCCAGCATGCTGTCATGTCGTTCGTGGTTAACGATCCGCCAGGACACCCTATTGGCTCGGTTTTCATTGACAGAGAAATACATCGTCTCATGTGCAAGCGACTTGAAGTTATCCAGCAGCACTTGAAATCATCACCAAATACGACGGCGTGGAGAATGACATTCGGACGATTTCAGCGATACAAATGTGCTTTTGGCACCGAAGCCACGGTCACGCCTTGGCTCAAGCTGGATGTGCCGGGATTAGACCCCAACCTTGACTTCCCAGAAGTGGGGATATTAAATGGACAGATGCAGATTGCATGGTGAGATCCTACGTCAAGTTCGCATTATAGTGAAGACTGACACCGGATAGGGAAGATATTCAGAAAAGCTTCGACTCGAAGGTAGAAGGTATATTCCAGCTTATAGACGCACATATCCAGCAACTGCAAGCCCAAGGCTCTAACGACGACATTGTGTGTTTGACAGTATATTACACCTGTTGTACATCTAAACTAACGCATTCACAGAAATACCTGGTGCTGTCCGGCGGACTGGGTAGCTCCCCGTATGTGAGACAACGCCTCCAGGAGAGATACAATAGCTCTAGCAAGGCTACTCAAACTGGAAGGATGCAAGTGCTCATGGCTGATGAACCGTACGTTAGCTTCTCATCTTCGCTAATACCCCGTGGTGACACTTACGAATTACAACTTCCAGGCAACTAGTTGTTGTCCACGGCTTAGTTATGGACCGCATTCAACAGCTCAAGCGCGGCATCCTGACATTCGGCTTCCGATGCGCACCAGTGAGCTACGGCATTATATGTCACAAGGTTTACAACCGCGACATTCACATTGGAGAGCGAGTCCAAATGGACGTTCGCGATAAACGTCTGTATGCCCTTGATCAGATTGACTGGCTCGTGGTCAAGGTTCGGATGCCCTCACCTCTCACTTTGCGAAGCTCACACCATAACCGCAATTAGGGGCGTCCAATTCCACCTACAGGGGTAACAAAAGAGTTCCATCTGAGGACCGACGTCGGTTTGGAAGCCGGAATCCATAACGTTGAGATTGTCATGTCGACCGAGTTACCGGCGAGGCTCCCACGCAGCCTATGCCATGAAGGGTGGCAAACAGTTTGCAACCTCGACATCGCAACCGACAACGTGGATAAAAAGTTGAAGAATCGCCATTGGTACAGCTCTAAGCCTGCTTTCTGGCGAACATCCTTTGAGGTGAGGGTGGTTGTTGGACCCGCAGATCTCACGTTCCAGTTGTGGTCTAGGGGAGAAAGAATCCGGAGCAAGCATGAGCCAATTTCGGTGCATTGGATGCCGGCGGAGAAATAGCGGATTGTTAGCCTGGCAGCATAAGCGATGGGTCAGGTGGTAGGAGTATAATGTTTGATCCCTCATAATTCCTCATATAAACTTAATCCATCAATTACGTTCACCGCTTAGACCCTCCCCCTCAGAAGCGATGAGAGCCTATCATGCCGCAATCCATGCTGCGTACGGATACTGTCCGATAATACCTGCCAAGTCGGATATGTCCGTTGCGTGCGGAGTCCCCATGGGGGATTAACGACCCCAGAATGTAAATCCGGGGAAGATAGGTGGGCCATATAGCCCCATAAAAGCGCAGATACCATGACAGTAACAGACGTATTTGTCCATACTCCACTACACATTTTCATTGAGCCATGGCGACGAAACACGACGAATATCCTCTGGACGACAGGGACTCCAAGATTATCGTGGAGAACCTCGAGGATGTCTCATATCCAGAACACTCGCTGGCTCAATTTCCACTTCTGCGGGAGAAGACCCCCGATGAACTCGAACATCTGGACAAAGCTGTACTAAAGAAGCTGGACTACTACTTTCTGCCATGTGTGACAATGATGCTCCTTATGAGGTGAACCTGCTATAACTGCTACTAGCAATCACAAACACTAACACCCCCACAGCTACCTCGACAGAATCAACGTATCCAACGCTCGTCTAGCCGGCATGCAAGAAGACCTCCACATGTCCGATACCGAATGGTCCGCCGGCATCTCCCTCTTCTACGTGGGCTACATCATATCCCAAGTCCCAGCAAGCGTCTTCATCGCCAAAGGCAAACCAAGCATAATCTTCCCCTGTATCATGCTCTCCTGGTCCGCTGTGACAATCTGCATGCCGGCCCTCACATCCGCCTGGGGCTTCTGTCTCTGCCGATTCCTCGTCGGCGTCACCGAAGGCCCCTTCATCCCCGCCGTCTCCCTAATGACTTCATCCTGGTACACAAAAAAAGAATCCCCATTACGGATGGGTATCTGGCACGCGGGAAACATCATCTCCAATGTATTCTCTGGACTTCTCGCCGCAGCCATCCTCACGAATATGGACGGCATCGCACATCTCCGCGCATGGCAGTGGTTTATCCTATTAGAAGGGATCGTCAGTATCCTTGTCGCCTTGATCGCATTCTGGTTCCTCCCGAACTTCCCTGATAATACTAGTCGACGATGGTTCAGTGAAGAGGAGGCTGAAATGACAAAGTACAGACAATTTGTCTCAGCCGGGGGGATCCTCGAAGATGATGATGGTGGTCGCTGGACGGGCGTGTGGCTTGCCGTTAAGGATCCTTTCACTTGGTTGTTCTCGGCAATGCATTTCGCCCTTATTATTGCGCAGTCATTTAAGGATTTCTTTCCTTCGGTGCGTATCCCTTTCTACTGATATGTTTTACACAACGCTAATAATGGCGACTACAGATCGTCGCAACCCTCAACTTCTCCGAAGTCGAAACCTACCTCGTCCAAGCCCCGCCATGGGTAATAGCCTACATTGCCACCCTAATACTCTCATGGTCCTGTGGCCGATTCCTCAAACACTGCTGGCACATCGTAATACCCATGCTCATCACCCTCGCCGGAACAGTGATCATGATCTCAACCTTGAACATCGGAGCACGGTACTTTAGCTTTATCTTACTCTGCACGGGACCATTCGTCGGCCTAAACGTAAGTTACCCCTCCACCTTCTACCCACTTGAAACAACCCTCCCAAACATACTCCCGCCAACGCAACTAAATGAATTATCAGATCCAAATATCCTGGGAAACCAGCGTCGTCCCGCGCCCGCGCACAAAACGAGCCGCGCTCGTCGCTATCGCGAACTGCGTCTCGTCAGTCTCTCACTGGTTCACGCCGTACTTCTTCCTCACGTCGCAGGAGCCGAGGTATGAGACTGGAGGAGGGATTATCATTGCGGGGTGTGGACTTACAGTGTTGCTTTGTTTGGGGACGAGGTGGTGGTGTGTCAGGAGGAATAGGGAGTTGGAGATGGAGGAAGTAGAGGGAAATGGGTCCGGGTGGAGGTTTGTTACTTAGGTAGGGGGGAGGTATGCTTCTGGTGGTGGTGATTTGGTAAGAAGGGGTGAGATGGGTGATGATAGGGCTGGTTGGTAGTAGTGTGGGATATGGCAGTAATTGATGTTGGGCTGGGATGAGAGAGTGGGTGGCCTTTATTGTTTGGTATATTGACTTATGACTCACTTTATTTCTTGAGATTTACTGCTTTACATTCATTATGGCTCATTCTATTATTCTTAACACTAGAGTAAGTAGCTATAGCGATGGGGCTGTCCATACGTGTGGGAATGGACATTTTCCGTTCCGTAGGAGAAGTTCCGGATGAAGCTATAGACTCATCGTCCAGCAGCCGGATATTCTCCGGATTGCTACATAAGACAACAAAAAATGCCCTCGATCTTAGCGAAGAACATCAATATATAAGTAACAAAGTCGGCACAGTTCAGCCAGACTATTCCAATTGATAAAAAGAACAATCTTTCCAATTACATCCGAAGTCAATCACCATCTACATCCACCCAAACTACCACCAAAATGACCCAATCCGACCCCCAAGCCACCAGCATCTCCAACCCCTTCCGGACGCGCATTCTCTCCGGCCAGATAACCCCCCTCCTAACAGCCAAATACCTAACAACCAATGAACTCCCCCTTCTCTGCAAAACGACCTCCATCCATGCCATCTTCATCGACATGGAGCACTCCGCGCATGACATGCGCACTGTCTCGCAACTCATTCTCGCCTGCCACTGCGCGGGCATCTCACCCGTGGTGCGCTCGCCCTCCAAATCGCACTTCCATATCAGTCGCATCCTCGACGCAGGCGCCTCCGCCGTGGTAATTCCCCACGTGGAGTCCGTCGAAGAGGTGAAGGAATTAGTCCAGTATGGGAAGTACGCTCCACTGGGAAAGCGCGGCTGCACGAATAACCAGCCGGCGTTTGGGTTCCGGCATGTGTCTACGAAGGTGCAGAATGCGGTGTTGAATGAGCAGACGATGCTGATTCCGATGATTGAGACGCCTGGGGCGGTGGATATTGTGGAGGAGATTGTGGCTGTTGAGGGGGTCGATGGGATTTTGGTGGGTTCGAATGATCTCTGTTCCGATATGGGGATTCCGGGGGGTTATGATACTGCTGAGTATCAGGATGCGGTGAAGAGGGTTATTAAGGCGTGTGTGGATGTTGGAAAGCCTGTGGGTATTGGGGGGATTCCGGGGAGACTGGATCTTTTGGAGATGTGGTTTGAGTTGGGGGCGACTTGGTCGTTGGGTGGGCAGGATGGGGCGATGGTGCAGGCGGGGATGAGGCAGTTGAGTCAGAAGTATGAGGATATCAATGTGAGGTTGGAGAGGGCGTAGATAGATGGCTTGTTTGTATTTGATTGTGGATATATATTGTTTTTTTACGTGTCAAAAAAGTGACCCGCAGCTGATGATCCGTACACGTACTCCCCTAACATGTCGGCCTCCATACTCCAGAAGACGTTGTCCCCAAATATGTCCCATGATAATTGTTGGCTCTCTATGGCTACTTCTTGCAACTGTATCAACTGGGCCTCATTCGTACTTGCATCGGGCGTCAGAATGGGCCATGGCGGGTTGTGCTGGATGTCGGGTGCAGGAGGTTCATTTTCAGTATTCACACTACCATCAGGTAGGAATCGTATGCTTCCACTTTGGTTAATTGTATCAAATGGGATATGTTGTTCGCCATCCACTGCGTCTGGTCGTTGGTTCTTTGTTTTGCGTAAGATGTCGGCCCGCAATGCTTCATATAGAGCAACATAGTGAACCGCATCAGGAAGCTCCTGGACCATCAGCTTCAAAGTTTTCTCGCCCTTCTTGACAGCTTCAGAAGCACTCTTTATGGTGTGATAATCAAGGTCCTCTACAACTGAAACACAAAACATGACAGATAATCCCGCAGTGAACAGAGTCTGGAAGTAACTGCGGGTGTATGTCACAAGCCCCTGGTCAAACATTGCACAGAAAGTAGTTATAGTCCCAACGGAATATTCAAGGCAGATGCCGAGTAAGTCTCGCGGAGGCACATTATTGCGCTTAGGCACGAGATCGATTGCTTTGCGGATGATAAGTAATCGCTCTCGCATCAGGAGCAGATCGTACCACTCCTGCCTCTCATACAAGCATTTTGGGTTGGAGAAGACAGGCGCAGAGACCCTCCAACTCTCGAGCTCATTCAGTAGCTCGTCAAGATCTAAATAGATAGTTCCGCTGGCCGAGGCCAGTTCAATTTGTGATATCTCCTGCTCAGCTATGCCCTTGGTCTTTTGCTGAAATTTTGTATGGATCTTCGAGGTAATCTTGCGCAGTCGCAGGCAGAAGAGAAACACCGAAGTCTCAGTTGCAGGCATAGAATCCATCTGTACCGTGCTTATACGATAAAATGAATCTAGGTCCGCGAATACACCAGACTGCCCTGCCAACTCGAGCTCCTCGTCATCTGCATCAGCCGGAAACCCGACCTGGATGTCTTTGTCGGCTACCGCGGGTGGGCGGTCCAGCATCACAGAGGTGTATCTATCCATCATATAACACTGCCAGAATACCCGTCTCCGCAGTTGCTCCTCTAGCAGATGGCCATCTGGGGTTTTTCGAGTACGACATCTATGTAGACCCTGCTCAATACACATTCTGGTACTGAGTTGAATCAGTTCCCAGATGGAAGTACCTACAGACGCAGTCAGTAGTTGCTACCACATTTCAATTGTGAGGACACTGCACCAATGTGATAATATATGCCAAACCTGCTTACAAGCAAGAGATCCTGAATGGACTCCAAGCCTTTCAGGAGAAAGCCTTCTTCAAGGTGTTTTAAAGCGGAAAGAAAGTAGCCGTAAGGGTGGTACTGGTGCTTGCCGGCTCGGTAGAGTGGGATGGCGCCGATGGCAAGTATCATGAATGCCCGAAATAGTTGGTGCTCCGTTGACCGACCGCCACTGGCACGTGCATGTTGATCTTCCAGA